TCCCCCGCCCCCCGAGTGCACAAATTTTTGTGCACTGGGCCTCTAGTTTTATATAAAGGACTTCAGCACCCTTGGATTTTGGTATCCTGTTTGGGGGGAAGGAGCTAGAATTAACCCAGTGCGGATACTGAGGGACTAGAAAGATCTGGTAAAGGCTTATTATTCTTAGTTTCAAATCAAGAAAAACACCAGGACATAATTGGCTGACAGTTGAATAGCAAGTATATTCATATATTTAATGCAATGTCTTTCATAATGAAGTAAGAAAATCACAGGAGAGAAGAAGAAGGGAGAGCAAAGGTGGGAAGAGAGAGGAGAAGAGAAGGAGATGGGGAAAGAAAGGAGAAATTAGAATGGCATAACTGAAATTACGTTTTTTATTTATTTTTTTTTTATTTTTTATTTTTTTAATATATTTTATTGATTTTTCACAGAGAGGAAGGGAGAGAGACAGAGAGTTAGAAACATCGATGAGAGAGAAACATCGATCAGCCGCCTCCCGCACATCCCCCACTGGGGATGTGCCCGCAACCCACATTTATGCCCTTGACCAGAATCGAACCTGGGACCTTTCAGTCCGCAGGCCGACGCTCTATCCACTGAGCCAAACCGGTTTCGGCGAAATTACGTTTTTTAATATCAAAGTCTTTCCTACTGTATTCCTCCCTATTAAAATCAAATTCTACTCCTTGAAAAGAATGAATGTGCCCATTCTAAATATATTATCAGGCATATACTCTAAAATGATAATAAGCTTGCTCTCTTTGCTATATCTAGTTTTTTTATTTAATTCTATAACCTAACAGTTCTTAGAAGTGGGATAGAACATTTTAATATGCCATTGACTATTCATTCTACACAGGATCTTAGACTAGTAGCTCACCATCAGACTCTGCCTCTACCATAATCTTTTATATTATAGAGGGTTTCACATGCTTAACCTACATAAATGAAAGCAGAATAATAAAATCATTGAGAAATAAAATTATGCAATGAGACTAATGGAGTAATAATAAAAATTTCATTGATTCGGTTTTCTCTGTCACTTCACAATAAGTATCTGACATCATATGATATTTTAAATTTACATAAACTCCAAACATTACTATGTGTCTCAAAAACTAAACTTATTTATAAAATATAAAGGGGTATTTATTATCTGACGATTACTTAGAAAATACTATCCTA